GTGTGTCGCGCGCGCACACACACACACACACACACACACACACACACACACACTTCATTTTAAAAGTGTGTTATCAAGAAATGAATGTTTATTGTAAGATGAAGGCTAAATTTAACAAAATGCCCATTGCCTCTAATTACTGTTAATCTCTATGACAGATTTCTACAATGTCCTGTTTAAACTATAATTATAGCTGTTTATTCTCAAAGAGAGAGAAATAGTTTCAGTTCTGTGATTTTCTATGACTCTTTCAACAAACGAGGTCAGATTTTAGCTTCTAAACTCACTTTAGTTATACAATTACAAACACTGTTGCATTAGTGAATATATTGCTGAATAATGAATTACCCAAAACATGAAGCCCTTCTTGTCTCCCTGGTTGCATGAGTCAGGAATCTGGCTAAGATTTAGCCAGGTGTGCCCTACTCAGGATCTCCAGAGGCAAGCTGCAGGAGGTAGCTGAAGCCATCTCAACCCTTACCCAGAGCTGAAGAATCTGCCTCCAAGTTTCACTCAAGTGGTTGTTGGCAGGAGACCTTCAGCTCTGACTTGAAGCCCTATCCATGAGCTGTCCAAGTGTCCTCGGGTTTCCTCACATGACAGTTAATGAAAAAGAGAGAAGGAAAGGGAAGAGGAAGGGAAGGCAGGAGGGCCATGTTGGAATTCGATTTCCAATCTCAGAACATCCTGTAATTTCTAATGTATTCTACCTATCAAAGGAGCCTCTAGATCAGTGGTTCTCAACCTGTGTGTTGTGACCCCCAACACCATTGGAAAACACAGATATTTACATTACAATTCACAGCAGCAACAAAATTACAGTTATGGAGTAGCAGCGAAAATAATCTCATGGTTGAGGGGTCACTGAAACATGAGGAATTGTATAAAAGGGACACAACATTAGGAAGGGTGAGAACCACTGTCTAGACCATCAACATGAGGATCTGTATTAAAGGGTCACAGCATTAGGAAGGGTGAGAACCACTGTCTAGACCATCAACATGAGGATCTGTATTAAAGGGTCACAGCATTAGGAAGGGTGAGAACCACTGTCTAGACCATCAACATGAGGATCTGTATTAAAGGGTCACAGCATTAGGAAGGGTGAGAACCACTGTCTAGACCATCAACATGAGGATCTGTATTAAAGGGTCACAGCATTAGGAAGGGTGAGAACCACTGTCTAGACCATCAACATGAGGATCTGTATTAAAGGGTCACAGCATTAGGAAGGGTGGGAACTACTGTCTAGAGCATATCCACATGCTCTAGAAGGAACACACAGAGTGGGCCTATCAGGGTAGGAAGCACACAGAGTGGGACCATCAGGAAGGACACATGGAGTAGGACTATTGGGGGAGAAAACAAACAGAGTGGGACTATCAGGAGGCAGGGAATACACATAGTAGAACTATCAGGGGGAATACACAGGGTAGGATTATCAAGGGGGTAGAAACACAGAGTGGGACTATTGAGGGAGGGAACACACAGAGTGGGACTATCAGAGTGCA